TCTCCACACAGTGAGAAATGCAAAAATATGAAATCAGCTACTGGCTGCTATTAAAATTCATCCAGCAATGGGAGCTGCAGAGCAAACTGATTTTCAGACAAAGAGCTGCTGGGAACACACAGAAACATGGAATGGTTTGGGTTGGAAGGGACCTTAAAGGTCATCCAGTCCCAAGCATTTGCCATGGGCACACTCAGGGTGGGAGCACAGGCATCCCCTGCCTGCTCCTGCCCCACCTTCCCCATCCTGGTTGCCCCTCTGCTGCCACTGGCATGGACTCATGAAGGGGAATTTGGTCGAAACAACTTGGCAGTACCAAGATGTTTCTCCCAGGAAAAGAAAAAACTCTTCCCTCCAGAGCTCCAGCCCTGGAGACCAACCTAAACCCACCCCTGCAGCAAACCCCATCCTGACCCCACACAGCAAAGGAGAGGCTAAACACTCTGCCCAGTTCCCTCCCTCGAACATCCAGGGCTAATTTTGCACAGAAAGACACTGAAATTAATTTATTTCCATTTCTTTCTTCTGGCCTAAGCAGCTCCCCTCCCACTTTTTCCAGATTGATCCATCAGAAAATGAGCCCTGCTAATGCTCTGTGCCAACCGCTGAGATAAAAGCCAGCCCTGGCTCTCAGGAGCATCCAGGCTGCTCCAGCCCTTCAAAGGCTGTGAGGGCAGGGATTTGGGCAGGGATGAGGGCAGGGATGTGGGCAGGGATTTGGGCAGGGATTTGGGCACCTGCTGGGGAGCAGAGCATCGCCCCAGGGGCAGGGATGTGGGTGCCCACTGGGGACCAGCAGATGCTCAGGGCACCCACAGCCCTCTCCCAGCACCCCCAGGACCATTCTGGGTGAATCCAAACCGTGGTCACTGCTCCTCTGCAGGGCTGGAGCAAAGGTTCCCATCCTCCTGCAAAGCTCAGCTCTGCAAAGCTCAGCTCTGCAAAGCTCAGCTTGCTGCAGGAGCAGAGGGCAGCCTGTGGAAGGGGCACACACAAACACAACAAAAAACAACCAGAGATGCCACAAACCTCCCATGTTAAAAAAAACAAACCCACATCACCCACCGCTGATCGCAGCCCTGAGCCGCACAGGGCTGAGTGTAATCAGGAGTCCTTAGAGCTCAGGGCCACCGGGCCAGGTTTTATTTACAGCACTCCCACATTAACCATGGCCCAGCCAAGGCTGGGGCAGGGCACTGGGAGCCTCCCGAGGGGGCTGGGGAGCAGCTGAACCCCCCAGCCCTGTGAACCTGTGCACATCCAAGCTGAGCCTCCAGAGGGAATGTCCCCAGTGCCACTGCCTGCCCTGGCAGCTGGAGCCGTGCCCAGCTCCGGGCTGGCTCCTCCTGAGCCAGGTGCCAGGGCGATGCTGCTTTGCTGCTTTGCTGCTTTGCTGCTTTGCTGCCTGTCCTCGGGGCAGCAGCAGAGCAGTGACACCGCTGAACACCTGGGACAGCACCAAGAGGAGCCACCCTGCTCTGAACCCCACCAAAAAGCTTCCAGTGGTTTCATCCCTGATTAACACAGGAACCATCACCCCTGCTAATGCAAAGGAGCTCATTAGCACCTCTTCCCAGGGAGGAAAGGCTCGTCCCTAATTTTTTTTCTTTTATGTTCTTCTCCTTTCAGGTCCAATTAGTAGAAAACTCTTCCCTTGCCCAGCCCTGCAGAGCTCGGGGCAGTGAGGACGGGGCTGGGCAGCCCCACAGAGCCCGGGTGTCACTGGGGACAGGGACACGGGGGGTTCACACGGGGAGCCCTTTGGCTCCTCGCCTTGGTGAGGCTCCATCACTCAGCTGTCACCACGGGACACAAGTCCCCCTGGCTGCACAGCTTGAGTTTCTGTCGAGGTTTCTGAAGCGTTGCCAAAATGACAAGGAGAGGCAGCTCCTGCCGTGGCACTGAGAAAATCGGGATTCACAGCCCTGAGCACCACACCTGCTCTTCTCCAGGAGCCCCTTCTCCCTGGAACCCCAATGTGTGAAGGCAGGAAAGCACCCACAGCCTGCCCAGAGCTGCTCTGCCCTCACCCATGGGGATCTGTGGGGAGAGACCCCCGGGCAGAGGCACCTGCCAGGATTCCCTGGTGCCATGGCTCAGCACAGCTCAAGGAGGGCAGTAATTAACCCCCTCATTATCCAGCAATGACACCTCGAGGGTGACACCTGTGATCCAGACAGGGAGGGGTTTGTCCCCCAGCCTGGGGGACAGCTCAGGAGCTCAGACAGAGGTTCCTGCTCAGACAGAGGTTTCTCCTCATACAGAGGGTTCTCCTCATACAGAGGTTTCTGCTCACCCAGGGCTCTGCCTCCATGGCCCCCACCCATCCCTGCACCCCCAGCCAGCCAAACCCTCAGCCTGGGGACACCTGGCCCTGTCCCAGCTGAACTGGGAGGGCTGCAATCATCCCCAGGAGCTGAAGATGCTCCCCCAGCAAACCACATTTTCCCGGGATGGGATGCTGAGGACTCAGCACCTCCAAAGCTCGAAGCCAACAGGTGCCATTTTGATGCCTTTTTTAATATTACAATCATCTTTATTTCCCCAGCATCAGTGGTTTGTTTTCCAAACACATTCAGATCAACATCTTTCTTTGTTTAAGAGATGATAATAAACAAACACGTCGCGGGAGGTTCTCCCTCACATAAAACAGTAGGAGGGAACAAACCTCAGGGGCCATTAGGAATTGTAATGCCAGATTAATTTTAAATGGATTTCTATTCATTTACATTCGCTCTGGCCTGTGTAAGCCATTAGCCATAGCTCTGGGTGCATCTGAGGGTTTGCCATCCTTGAACATGGGCACTGGTCCTGGAGCCCACTGGGACCAGAGCATGGGCTGGGAGAGGAGGGAGCTGGGCTGGCCTGGGGGTGCCCCCAGAGCGATGGCAGGGACCAGAGGGCATCAGGAGGAGCGGAGATGGTGCCCAGGACAGCGTGTGGAGCTGGGCAGCTCCGTGCCTGTGGTGTCCTGAGCCAGGACGGCCCCAGGGCCGTGGCAGGTCCCAGCAAGGCCAGGCGTGCACAGGAGCACAGCTGGCACACACGCCGGCCTTGGGGAGCTCCCTGCAGCCCCTGGGGCCAGCCAGGCTCAGAGAGTGCCACATTCCCTGCCAAAAACCCAAAACAACCCCCCTGTGCTCGCTCAGCACCCCTCACAGCGGGCCAGAGAACACAGAGAACCCCAGTGACGCCTTCCCACTGCCAGCACCTCAGTGCTTCAGCCACGAACCCCCGCCAAACTCGGGGCTGCAGGGAGAAGGAGCTGTGATGTGGCAGTTCTGTGATTAAAAAGACACAAATTAAAACCAGCAGAAGCCTCCAGTGTTGCCACCCCAGAGCATCATCTGCATGACGGCGCCCATGGCGAGAGGGACAATTACCAAACAGGATTATCCTGCTGGGAATGCAGAGGCTCATCAAAAAACTGTTTCCACGTCCCCCCAAAATTATGAATGCCTTACAAGGATGATAATAATGAGTTTTAGGGCATACACATGATCTCCCCCACTGTATAATCTGCCCATTTCAGAGACATGGAGCTCTAGCAGCTCTATTAGAGAAGTAAATTAACTCTAATTTGATTGCTCCTCAGTAACAGTCATTTCAACACTCTAATCAATAAGTCATAGGGTTTTATGGCTGCCCTCTGTATCAATCACTGCAATCAGTAATAAAACCCTTTTATTTGAAGAACACCTGAACACTGTGTAATTACCTTTGTATACAATTACAGCCCCCAATTTACCCATTTCACCTGCAGCAGCCCCCAGCCTCGCTAGGCATGGACCATCCCTTCCTTGCTCAGGGCTTTCTGAGCTGTCCTCCACCCTTTCCAGTGCCACTGCACCACGGGGTTATTACTCACACCCCAGCCAAGCAGCAGGTTACCAGAGACACTCATCTCCCAGAAAAGTCAAGATCTGAGATCCTGCTGGGAAAAGGCAGCTGGGAAGACACAACACTGGTGTGTGGCACCACCAGCAGCTCCTCAGAGCTCCCGGCAGAGCCCCCAAATGGAGCCAAATCCATCACACACAGAGAGACGGCACAGCCGGGAGCAGGGCAGGGAGAGCAGCACTGCCCAGACATCCCAGGAGGTGACAAGCTCACACTTTGGAGGGAGCAGATGGCTGGGGGACTGGTGAGGGGCAGGAGCAGCAGATCCTGGCAAGCCAGGCATGCTGCTGGCTGCTCTTGGGTGCCAGACCTGCCTCGTGCCCTGCACAGCTGCTGGAAAGGCTCCTTGGTGCCACCTCTGTAAAGTCACCGTTCCTGTGGCTCTGCTGTCCCACCCCATGGGTGGGGACCCCCTTGGACAGGGCCTGAGGGAACCACAGAGACCCCAGGCAGCCCCCCCAGCACGGGACTGTCAGGGAAACAGGGCCAAGGGAAGGTTACAGGGGCCTGGGGCTGTACTCAGATGTTCCTGCCTGGCAAAGGACGCCCTGGCACACTGGGCACTGCAGGGTGGGATGTGATCCCCTTTTTTCCCCCAGTCCACCTGTTATTCCCTGTGTGGAGCAATTCCCACTGTCCTCACTGGAGGTGCACAGCTCCAAGCACTGCCCCCAAGGCTCTCCCAGCATCAGGATGCTGCCATTGCTCCCAGCCAAACAGGGACCTCAGAGATCCCTCAGCACAACACAGCCCCACATCAGCACCCCAGAGCTGTGCTCAGGACAGTCTTCCAGGACATTCTGGTTTTTATCAGTTTTGGTTTTGCTGTTCCAAGAAAAAAAAGCGAACAACTCTTAAAAACCACTGGAACTGCCTTAGGGAAATATTTTCATGGGCAGATATCAGGCCTCAGTTGTTCCAGGAATTATCCCCAGGATCCTGAGCAGAGGAGAGGCTGCCCCATCCCCGTGCAAAGCCATGACAAAGATGCTGCTGCTGCTGGAGCTGGAGCTGGCACGGCTGCAGAGGTTCAGTGTTTGTTACCCCTCTGCCAAACCCACCTGTCACCTGCCAGAGCCCAGAGGGGTCCCATCACTCACCCTGAAGTCGATGCCCACGGTGGAGATGAAGCTGCCGGCCAGGAAGGCGCCGTCCTTGAAGCGCACCAGCAGGCAGGTCTTGCCGACCCCCGAGTCCCCCACCAGCATCACCTGCAGGGAGGGAGGCAGGGATGGAGGCAGGGATGGAGGCAGGGTGTGAGGCTGCAGGCTTGGGAAGGCAGCCCCACTGCAGCCATCACCCTGCTCCATCACAGCAGTGGCAGCAGCAGTGCCTGGGGGAAGCAGCGCACCCAACAGCGATGTCCTCGCAGCCAGGGGAGGGTGGGGAAGACACACAAGGGGATTATTCAGACCCTGCACCATGTCACCAAACTGGAGACACCTTCCCCTGCCCTGACAGGCACTCAACAGGTCCTTGGTGGGGGCACAAAGCCCCTGGAAACCAAGAGTGACACGAGCTGCCTGTGCTGTCCCCACCACGTGTGGGCCTTCCTGGGAGGGTGACACTGCTCGTGGGGGTCCCCAGCCACGAGTGCCAGCTCCAGGGGTGCGCTCTGCCCTCGCCTCAGTGGGACCCACACATGCTCACAGCCACCCTCCCAGTCCTCCATGGATGCCAAGGGAGCAGCTCCCGGTGCCACCTGCCTCAGTTTCCCCACCCAGCAGCCACCCTGGGCACAGACAGGGCAGGCAGCTCCTCTCCACAAAGCAACCACAGCAGAGCTGAGGCTGCTTCCAAATGCAGCTCCCCCAAAGCTCTGCCCACACCAAAGCCCTGCTGCCCCCAGGGCTCTGACCCTGCTCCCCTTGGAGGGATGACACCGAGGAACCCGGGACAGGAGCGGGGCTGTGCCAGCTCCTTCCACACCTGCCGTGCCAGGCCCTTCCCTCTGCCATCTGCCTTCCAGGAGCCATTAACCCTGAGAGGATTTAAATGGCTTTATGGCAGGGACTGCCCCGGGTGACACCAAACCCTCCCAGGGGCTGCCACAAGTGGCAAATGCCACCAGCCCTCTGCAGAGGCAGCAGCAGCCCCAGCTGCAGGTGCAGCTCATTTTGGCACTGCCAAGGAGGGCAGGATGTGCCCACCGTGCCCCACAGCCCCAGCAGAGCCCCACACTGGAGTCCCACAGGAGCACCAGGCACTGAGCCCTGGCACAGCAGGGTGAGGGCAGCCAGAGCCCGCAGGGGTGCCAGTGTGAAGCCAAGGGAAGGGGGAAAAGTCATTTTAGTACAAAATATGGATTTTTAAAAAAAATTCCAGACATCTTTCTGGAATAGGTGACCCTCAACAGCAGCTTCTCCCCACTCAGCAGCACCAAAGCCTCACTGGGTACACAGAGTGCCCAGGGCCAGGAGCCAGCCCTGTCCCAGGACTTGTCACAGATCGGGAGCCCCAGGAGAGGGGAAGGGAAAGAGAAAGTTTAATAAACCAGGCTTTCACTGGATACAAAGCAATTTCTGTCTGCCACTGGGTCAAACCAGCCAGACCATTAGCAGATGCTTTCTCTACCCGGTGTGTTTGGGCTTATCTGAGACACATTTGGCTCACCCTCGTGCCATGGGCACCAGCCCTAGGGAAAGCCCCAGCCTGGGCAGGCAGAGGTGAGCTCCAGGAGCCAAGGACCAGTGCAAACACAGAGGTGGCTCCATTTTAGGGAAGCTGTTGAACCATTAATGCAGCTGTATCAGGACCAACCACCTACCAAAGCAACCAAGCACAATTCTGGAACGTCCCTCTCCAACCCGAGATCCCAAACAACCTGAACACCTCCTACCCCACACCCCAAACAACCTGAACACCTCCTACCCCACACCCCAAACCTGAACACCTCCAACCCCACATCCCAAACAACCTGAACACCTCCTACCCCACACCCCAAACAACCTGAACACCTCCTACCCCACACCCCAAACCTGAACACCTCCAACCCCACACCCCAAACCTGAACACCTCCTATCCCACACCCCAAACAACCTGAACACCTCCTACCCCACACCCCAAACAACCTGAACACCTCCTACCCCACACCCCAAACCTGAACACCTCCAACCCCACATCCCAAACCTGAACACCTCCTACCCCACATCCCAAACCTCCACATCTCCTACCCCACACCCCAAACCTGAACACTTCCAACCCCACACCCCAAACAACCTGAACACCTCCAACCCCACACCCCAAACAACCTGAACACCTCCTACCCCACACCCCAAACCTGAACACCTCCAACCCCAAACCTCCACATCTCCTACCCCACACCCCAAACCTGAACACCTCCAACTCCACACCCCAAACCTGAACACCTCCAACCCCAAACCTCCACATCTCCTACCCCACACCCCAAACCTGAACACCTCCAACTCCACACCCCAAACCTCCACATCTCCTACCCCACACCCCAAACCTGAACACTTCCAACCCCACACCCCAAACCTGGACACCTCCAACCCCACATCCCAAACCTGAACACCTCCAACTCCACATCCCAAACCTCCACATCTCCTACCCCACATCCCAAACCTCCACATCTCCTACCCCACATCCCAAACCTCCACACCACAACGCCACAGGCACCAAGCTCTCCCCATCACACACCAGGCGGGACCTGCCCCAGCAAAGCTGCTCTCTCCAGGCTCGATGCCCCGGGCTCAGCACAGAGATCCGTGTCACAAACACACAGGGGTTTCACGGAATTGTGCCCCCAGGCAAAATCACTCAATGAGCCCCAAAATCATCAAATGAGCTCCGAGCTGGGCTGGCATCAGGTCGCAGGATGAAGTGGGGAGGAAGCAGATACATTTGCGCTGTGAGTCGCTCGCCAGGGTCTGAGCAGCGAGGAGAAGCCACCGGAGCCCAGCGGGCTGGGGACATCTCAGCAGCAGCCGGAGCACATTCGGTGCCCCTCGGGGGTGCCACCACCCTGCTCACAGCCCCGCTTTCCTGTAGGCTCACAGGATCCGGGGGCTTACAGCAACTCCCCGGAGCAGCCTTCGGCCGTCACTTGCACAAGTCCCGCAGCCCCAGCCCCGCTCCGGGGGCTCTGCGGGCGCAGCCCCCGCCGAGCGAGACCCCGACCGGGCGGCTGCGGAGGGGCGGGATGAGGGCTGGGAGAGGGGAAAGCGGGGATCCAGGCAAGCAGGGATCCAGGCAAGCAGGGATGCAGGGATGAAGGGATGCAGGGATGCAGGGATGAAGGGATGCAGGGATGCTGGGATGCAGGGATGCCCGCCCGGTCCTGGCCCCCGGGAACTTCGGCGACGCTACCCCCGGCCCCGCACCCGCCTGACCCCGCACTCCCACAACCCTCCCCGCTGCCCTCTCCGCTCCCGCACCTTGAAGGCGAGGTCGTAGAACTCCCCGCTGCTGCTCAGCGAGGGCCGCCCGGCCGCCGCCGCGCCACCGTTGCGGGGCAGCTCGGGGGCGGCGGCGGCGGCGGAGCTGCCCCGGGGGGCGGCGGCGGCGCGGCCGGAGCCCTGCCCGGCGGGAGGCAGCGCGGCGGAGGGCGCGGCACCGCCGCCCTTGCTGCGAGCCGCCTTCTTGCGCGACATCCCGGGGCCGGCGCCGCGGCCGCGCCGGGCGCTGGGGGGGCGCGGGAGCCGCCGCCGCCGCCCCGCCCGGCCCCGCCCCGCGCCGCCTCTCCGCCAATGGGAGCGCGCGGAGGGCGGGAGGGGGCGCGGTCTGAGCGCTGGCCCCGCCCCTCCGCGCCCCGCAGCGCCGGCACCGGGAGGAGCGGGGGGAGCGAGGGGCACCGGGGGGCACCGGGGGGCACCGGGGGAACCGGGGGAACCGGAGGGAGAGGGTACGGCGAGAACGGGCTGCGAGGGGTCTGTACCCGCGTGAAGGGAGCCGAGGACGCGGGCAGCGCTCCCCGCGATGCCCCTGCACGCCCCGGCCCCGAGGCGCGTTATCGTGGGGGTACCGGGAGCCGCCTCGGGTGGGTCTGCAGGAGCGAAGGGAACGGCGAATGGAGGGTGGCACCCGCACCCCGGGGAGCAGCGTGGGGTGCCCCACGCCGCACACGGCAGCCCCGCGGGCGGGGTGCGCAGCGGGGCGGGGGTGCAGCTCCACAGCCCGGTCTGGGGTCCGTCCCGCAGCCCGGTTTGGGGTCCGTCCCACAGCCCGGGTTGGGGTCCGTCCTGCAGCCCTGTCTGGGGTCCGTCCCGCAGCCCGGTCTGGGGTCCGTCCCACAGCCCGGTTTGGGGTCCGTCCCGCAGCCCGGTCTGGGGTCTGTCCCGCAGCCCTCTCTGGAGTCCGTCCCGCAGCCGCATCCATCCCTCTCGGTTTGCCGGCACGGTGTGCGAGGGCCGCTCGAGGCAGACCCTCGGGGGTGTAAGGGTGGAACGGGGTCCAGACCACAGCGGGATGGAGTGTGGGCTGCGGGACCAGGAGCCCGGGTTCCCCAGTGTGTCTCAGCAGCTGGTTTCTCTCTCTGCTCCCGAATGCCGTCTGAGGCACTGGCGGTCTCCCGGCTGGAATAAATGCCGTCAGCTGCGTGACATGTTCAGCCTGGCTGGGAAGGGAGGCCTAGACAGGCACAGGAAAGCAGGAGCAAGGAGTAAATCACTGTCAGGAGAAGCCAGGCAGGCACATGGTGAAGATGGAGTCAGTGACAGCGCTGGCACAGGGAGTGACAGCTGACAGGGCAGGGATCAGTGCCCCAGAGAGCCCAGGGCCAGCACCAGAGCTCGGGTGGCAGCCGTGGTGATGCTGAGGGGTCATTCTCACTGCGGGCATGGACGGGATTTTCCCTTTGGGAGCATTTAAATCTATGGTTAATCCCTAAAGCACCCCGTGGGGAGGAGGAGGAGCAGGCAGCAGGGTTCTGATGGATTCAACCATGGACAAGGGAGATGAGCCAGGTTTGGAGCTCCCGTGCATGGCTCCTGGGTGACATCCCCCTGCTGCCACCCCGAGTCTTGGGCACGGGCACGGCTGTCAGAGGCTCCAGGGGACGAATGCTGAGGAGCTCTGGGTCTGCAGCGCTCCTCCGACACAGCTGAGGCTGAAGGAAACGCTGTCACGGTGGAGGCTCGGCATCCCACTCCCCTGCATCCCAGCGATCGAGCCGGGAGATGGAAGAGCTGCCTCGGCAGAGCAGACTGCATGCCACGGTTTTGCACTATAATCTGATTTTCCAGGACAGCTGCAGTCAATAGAGGCTGAGGCCTGGGAACAAAGTGCAATGCTGGAACCATCCGTGGGCTGCAGGTTTTTAAGCGGTCCCTGAGGCACGGCCGTGGTGCGGCTTTTCCTGGCGGTACCCGCCGGGAGGAAGGGGGTGCGCTCCGCCCTGGCACCCCGCACCTTCGGGCCACGCCAGGACTTTGCCCCGCCGCCATCCCCAGGCGAGGCTGATGGAAATCTCCACCAGCGGCCCCGCGCTCTGGAGCAAACAAAGCCAGCTGTTCAGCGCCGCCGCATCGGGGCAACGCCGGAGGAGAGGACGCGGCTCCTCCTCGGGAAGCGCTCCCGGATAACCCCGCCTGTGCCAGGGGCCGTGCGCTGCCCCGGCTGCCCAGGGCTGCTCCCGCTGCCCCCAGCCCCAAACCAGGCTGGCAGAGAGCTCCGAGCCCCGCGGCAGGAGGAGCATCCCCGGCAAGTTCCTCTCGTGGAGGAAAGGCGTGTGCAGAGACGCAGCCTGCTCAGAATCGCAGTCACGCCTGGAGATGTTGCTCCTCGGATAGTTACAGGAACTAATCAGATAACGGCAGCTGAACTAAGGGGGATATGTTTGCTAAAAATAGCTTAATGGAACAACAGACGCCTGGAGATACGGCGTGCCTCGGGGAAGCGGGGCTGCGGCATCTGGCGGGGCTCGGAGCGGGGCCGGCACTCCGAACCATCTACATATATGTAAATTTGTTCTCAAAGGCAGAAAAACAGCTTGTCCCCGTCACGGTGGTCACCCCAAGAGGGCCCTTGTGCTGCTGTATCAATGTGAGCACGGAGAGGCAGATGGTGCCACCAGTGCCACCTGTGCCAGCAGCCACGGGGATGGCACCTGCCTTTGGCTCATCCAGGGAGCAGAGCTCTGCACAGGGCTGGAGACACCAGGAGCCACCCGGGGCTCAGTGCTGTGCTCTGCCCAGCTGCTCTGCACAAACACTGCGCCTCAGGGCTCCCAGTCTGGCTGTTTTCTTTGGCATGGAACCTGGCAGGGTTCTGTGTGCCAGAAGTTCCGTGCCGTGCTCAGAGCCAGGGAGATATTTCGGTGTGAGGCCTTCCCTCCCTCCCTCCCTCCCTGCCTGCCTCCTGCTGCTGCTCTGGGCTGTTCCAAGGCTGGCTCGTGCCACGGCTGCCCCTGCACTCCCCAGCCTTGGCTGCTCCATGCCCTGGGCCTGACCAGCCTCTATCCATCCCTGCCTCTCCCAGCAGCCAGCCCAGCCTGCTGCCCTCCTGGTGCCAGCTCCTGGTGCCAGCTCCTGGTGCCAGCTCCGAGGGAGCAGAGCCTGCTCCAGCAGGCAGCCTGCAAGGACGAGCTATTCCCACCAGGCACCATGTCAGCTGTGCCAGCTTGGAAGATATTCATCTTCCTTGCATGGTGAGTGCAGGAAGGATGCTGCAGGCTCTTTCCATGTGCTGCTGGTGGTGCCTCTGCTGTCACCTGCTGCAGTGCCACCAGCCAAGGCTTGGGGGCTTCTCTGTCTCTGCTGGGTGCTGGTGAAGCTTTGCCTCAAATCCTGGGGGCAGTTTTGGGCCCTTCATGATGTGGAGGGGCTGGAGTGTGTCCAGAGAAGGGAACAGGGCTGGGGAAGGGGCTGGAGCCCCAGAAGAGGCTGAGGGAGCTGGAAAGTGGCTCAGCCTGGAGGGCTCCAGGGAACAGGGACAGGAGGAGAGGGAACAGCCTCAGGCTGGACCAGGGCAGCTCAGGGTGGATATTTGGGAGAATTTCCTCCCGGAGGGGCTGCCCAGCCCTGGCACAGCTGCCCGGGGCAGGGGTGGAGTCCCCATCCCTGAGGGGGTTTTACAGCCCTGTGCATGTGGCACTTGGGGACATGGGACAGTGCTGGCTTTGGCAGTGCTGAGGAATAGCTGGGCTGGATGGACTTCAGAGGCCTTTTCCAACCTAAACCATTCTGTGGCTCTCCCGGTCTCCTGTAACTCTGCCAGCCCTGCTCAGGTCCTTTGCCAAGGGCACACGGAGCTCTGGCTCCAGAGTGGCTGCAGAAGGAGAGGCTGGAGGCAGTGGCATCACCTGGATGGCAGCTGTGGGAGGGCTCCTGGGGCTGGCAGGCAAACCCAGAGAGCTCAGTTCCATCCTACAGGGGAGCAGACACCCCCAGAGAGGCCAGACGGAGGGGACAGCCCTGCTGCGGCCAGCACGTCCCCATGGAGGGCAGAGGGAGGTGCACAAGGCACGGGCCACAGCTGGAGCTGGATCCCAGCCCCCGGCAGGGCGGGCAAGGACTCTGTGCCTTGGGAAGGGCCCAGCCCACGCAGCCCCCAGCAGGCACCGTTCCCTCCCTCGCCAGTCATTGTTCTGCCTCCCATCGCTCACTCACCTCTGAACGCTTCAATCTCATCGCCTTTGTCAGTGTCGCTGGCTTTTAATTGAAATTCCTCAGACATCTCCTCATCAGCGCAGCCCATCAGTGAGTTTTGTGTGGGAAGTCATTGTTTTCCTTCTGCAGCTGTGAAAGTTAAATTCCAGCGTTTTGCTCGGAGACTGCTTTTGTCTCTTCCCTTTCTTATGCTGCCAAGCCCAATCTTACAATCGCAGCCTCTTTCCTTTGTCTGGATGTTTCATTTTCCACCTCTCCTCCTCAGAGTCCCTCCGGCTCCATCTCAGGCTCCTTCACCCCTCTGGCCCATCCTGAGGGGCATCTCCCACCTGTGGCTCCTCCAGCCACTGCCAATGTTTTCCCTGGGGAGGTTTGGAGAGCCCAGCCTGTTTCTAACTCTTTATTTCTTGGTGTTCAAACCCATAAGAGCAGCAGCCACTCCTCAGGAGGGTTTGGACACCATGGAGCTGGGCAGACATGGAGCTTTCAGCATGTGCAGCCCAGGGGCAGAGCCTGAGCACTCCTACCCCCACCAGAGTGCCCCTTTAGTCCCTTTTCCCTCTCCAAGGCAATGAAAATGCCGACCCAAGAGTGTTCAGGAGGAGGACCCACACTGGCAGCAGGAGGATGGGATGGTGGCTCTGCCCCAGTGCCAAGCCAAGGGAGCTCAGTCCCCTCCTCTGGAGCAGAGCCTTTCTCTAACACCTGCCATGGCCCCATGGGCATCCCCAGGGAACCTCGGTGCTGCCCTGGGCCCCCACTGCCCCCTGTCACACATAGAAAGGTGATTGTGCCAGGTCCTAACGAGCTGGCACTGGGCTGAGGGCAGGACACGGATTTTCCTTGTGCCAAGACTGACACGAGCCAAGGTTTCAGGAGCAGAGGGCCGAGGGCAGGGCAGTGCCCAGCTCAGCAGTCACCCACGAGGACTTTGAGACAGGATGAAGAGCTGGATGTTCAAAAGGCCTTTGGAACAGAGGGAGGGCAGAGCAAGTGCCCAGCCTCCCTAATGTGAGATATTTTCAGGCTATTTTGTATATTTTAGA